GAGCCATCATCGCACCAAGTTAGACCTCAAGCGGTGGCTACAAGAACTGTCAATTATAGTACGCATGCTATGAACTATAAATACCGTGCAGCCTGCGCATGTCTCAGACTTTTCTGCGATTACCTATGATTAAGGCTTCCCGACGGAATCCGAAAAATCAGGACAATAAAACTCTTGTTCCAGCGGTCGCTTCTTCTTCTTCTTCTTCTTCTTCTTCTTCTTCCACTTCTTTTTCTGAACTGTTTCCTCGAACTCGCATATTTAATTCTATTGACACTACTACTACTACTTCTAAAACTGCCAATACTACTACTATTACTACCAATACTACAAATATTGCTACTATTACTATTAAAAATGCTACTAGTACAACCGTTGCGGGATTGAGCTTCCTTATCGACTTCGCATCCCTCGTTTGTAACAAGTTTCGTTCGTCTAAAGTGTGTGAATTATTGTGGGAGAATACAACTGGCAGGAAAGATGCCCCGACATTTCTTAACGACAAAAGATTATATTTATATCATTAATTTGAAGGGCAACACAAGTAATTAGCACGAGTACTCTCAGCACCAATGGTGCTTTTACCGTGGTCCCTGCCGTCAACGGATAGGTGCGCACCGCTGTGCGCACTCCGTACAAACAAAAATCATGGGAAGAAAGCAGCTGAAATTGTAGGCATGACTGAAGTTTTTACGTCGTCATGGGGGAGATCGGCCGGATGATCAAACAATGCGATAGAGCAATAAAGGATAAGATGAAGTCGAAGAAATATCTCAAAGGTTTTATTCAGCTAAAATTTATGTGAGCAATTTAATCATATTGTTGAGGCCACCAGTGGCATGAGTTAGTTGAGAAGAGAGGAAAGGAACAGTGCACAGGGCGTAAGAGCTGAGGCGGATGTAATACATTAAAACAGAACGACTACGCAATACTTTGTAAGTAGGTAACTAGGGGACGTGTAAAAAATTGCATCCGTCTGAGAGAGCATTTAGAAGTACGTACACACACTTGACCAAGACTGATATACATATAATTCACATTCTTTGTAAAGAATGAAGCCACAAAGGGGAATATAGGGTTTGTTGAAAGGCCATGTTTTCTTTTTTTTAAACCTTCTGTCCTCTGACTCGCTGAAGTAAAAAATAGGTTTTGCTTCCGAGCAGGCCTCATTGGCATAATTCTGACCCTCATTATGGTGGTGATAATCGGTGTCATACGTAGGGATTGAGATTATTTTCTTTATCATGTCTGTTGACCAGTTTGCGCGTTCGCGAGGCCCGATCACGAACTTTAGATGAACCCGTCCTCCGTTCCTCGAGGAGGAATGTGCGCTTATTGGGTCCGCTTAACTGTGCCCTAACCCACTGCTCCATATTATCGTTCAGCATCGCCACCTGCAATGCAAAACACACAGAATACATGATCAGCAGGGGAACTTTTAGAGAAAAAAAATGCACGGTCTAACTGCAATAGAGGCTGCAAGAGTGAAACTGTGCAGTTATTTGCAGCTGTTCGCTCTTTCATCTGAGTACTTGATAGGTCGAAGCTAGACAGGGTTTGCACTCAGGCTAATTCAATGATCGGGCCCAGTTCCGTTTTGGAGGAACTTGTGTGTTATTAAGAAAATTTAATTTTTCTTAACAAACTAAACAAAGACTAAAGACTGAAATTCGTGAATTATGTGCAGTCCATCGGGGAGAAGCGGGAGAAATAAAGATAACCCCCCTTGTTCGGAGTTTACACGAATGCAGACCACAATCAAAGCTTCCTGATGACCCAGGTCAGTACGTACACAAATATTCGTCTGTTTCACTTGATAAAACTTCGATCGAAGCCTAATCAATTGGTCCTAAATTTTGCTGTCCCCGTCAGAAACCCAACCAACTAGAGCTGGAAACAGTTCGAGAATCTGCTGAATCAAGCACACGACTTCCAGCCACTTTCGACTGAGAGTTTACAGCACTTAAAGTCTACTCTATTTAACTGTTCCTATCAGTTTTTAAGCAGTGGTCAGAAACATCGGGGTCTGCTAACGAAGGCAGACTGCATACCTTGACAATTCAAACCAAGGTTTTATCCTTCCGACGTGAGAGTGCAAAAATCATTAAGCATAAAAAGATGCCTACTAACAGTCAATGAGTAGGAGCGATATATTTAACCATAGATAAGCTCTGGGCTATCCTTTCCAGTAATAATGCAAAGACCATGGCTTAGCTCACCTGCTCCTGCAGTTGCGAAACTGCTTTCACTATAGAGGAGAGGGCCTTCTGACTCTCACACACGAGACCGCGCACGTGTCCAACTTCCTCCTTGATGCGAGCATTTCCAGCGGCGGAATTCAGCTGCTCTGACTGGGACTAAAGTAAGAATGGGAAAGAATGAGCATATGGGACTGTGGTAAAAATTAATCAAATGAGTGATCAGATGAGAAGATTGGATTTTCAGGTGAACAGAAGACATTGCTTATGAAAAGTAAAGTGAAAGCACAATAAACTAATCCAGAATAAAGCCTGTAGATTGGGGCGAGTGACTTTGGATGCACAATAAACCTGCCTTCTAGTGTATTTTTACTTAGATCCTGTCTATCATCGAGTAGTTAAACTGCATTACAAACCTATTAAAGTCGGAACCAACTCTCATTACAGCCGAATTCAGCCGGATAGTATGTAATGGCAGCTTCTGGCATATATACTTTCATGAATTCTCAACGAATCAGCCCCTTTAGTGCCACCGGATACAAAGAACGCAGAAGTTGTACAGAGACTGCACCACAGATTAGGGCAAACATGCTAGCAAGTCATCAAGAAAAAAGGTTCTATTTAAGTTTATTATTTTTCACCACCATCACCACCACCGCCAGCACCAAGGGCTGTGTCGAACGCACATGACAGTCGTCTTCCCAAGGGCCTGACAGTCTGGCCGACTACCTAGCCGCACGGGGGCATAGCCAGTTCACCCAGTGCTCTGCTGAATGATGTGACCACAATCCGATAGCAAAACAAAACGGAGCTACTTGGCACGCTTCTCCAGGATCAGTGACTTCGTGCTAGAGGGGTTGGAGACAGACCGCAGTTTAATATTCAGGACTGGAGTTGGGTATGTGGGCATCACCGATCTGGTAGTGGAACAATTAAATCCCCATTTACGCCCTGGGGCTCACATTAGAGTCCGCTCAGGCAGTCACATAGCGACTAGTAGGATAGGATGGAGTGGATCCGACAAATCAAAGGGAGACCGGAATGACCATTTCTGGCTTGTTAGATGTCATCAGCCAGTCCTACTCAATCTCAAGTGTTGGAACCCTCGAGATTCGAACCTGAGACCTACGGTTATTGAGTTTACCACACTGCCATTGCACCACGGGCTT